ATGCACTTTTCACCAAATGTAATGCCAAACCAAAGGATTTTTGGTATCATTTTTTCCAACTGATGCTCAGTAAAATAACATTAGTTCTTAATGGTTCTCTGCTGCAACCTGATTGTATGCTGTCAGATTGATTCAAATAAAGTGGATGTAGGGAATTATGTGTCGACTTGCTGGGAATTAATAATAGTGTTAATGTTAGTTGTTTTAAAAAATTAAGGAAAATTAACTGATTAGTGGCATACTTTTTAAATAACACACTTTTGAATCTTTAGACTTTGGAGAAGTCAAAAGTCAAACTGAAGTCACGAGTCATTGGTGTTAAAGTATAAGTGTGCAAGTCTTTTTTGATTTTGTCAAGTCTAAAGTCATCAAATTTGTCCAAGTCATGCGAGTCCACACATATGCTGTATACAGTCTGAAGACACTTCTTAGGTCTGAAAGAAGTACTACTAACTTTTTTCTTGGGTTAAAAAATATCAGTTAATTTAAATCCTTATTTACTGTTAATATGCCCCTAAAAAGATGCTAGAACTAGACAAAGCTAAGACAAAAAGGCACAGTGCTCTTTCTGTAGCATGGAAATACGTGTCAGAAAGGAAACTAAATATGATTTTAAGAAGGCTTAAAGGTCAGGTCACTGACCCCACCTGTAAAGCTGCAGTGGGTAAGAAGAACTGAATTATTTTACAGATTATCTGTCTCATATACTACTCTCAGAATATAGTGAAGTTTAAGCAAATATAACAAAACATTTTTTTAATAAAAGATACCTACTGCAGCTTTAATGCATTAATAATACAGAAGGTTTAGATAGCATTTCTAAGTTTTGTTCTACTAATAGTGTTATTCTGTCTGGTTGGTAATCCAGCATTATGTCAGTGTTAGTCTTGTAATAGGGAAAATACTGTAGTTTTCCAGCAAATCCACTGGATGGAGCCATTGAGTCATAAAATGAGCCTCTGCATAAAAAACATTATTTACATCAGGAACCAGTGCCCTCAACTACTGTAGGGACTCTATCTCCATGTTCTTTGTACAGCGACTGTGTAATAGGTCTGCACATATAATCCTATCATCAGTCCAGCCACAGCTGTGCCTTCTGTCAGGACTGTGTAGGATTGGTGAATTGATGCAGTGTTATCATGTGCATTTTGGTCCAGTGGAACCTCTGAGTCACTCTCCGTTCCCTCTCACTGGAAACCCTTTGGGGCCATTCAATCATAGACGTGGAGGACCCAGCCGGGCAGTCTGTGTTCAAAGTGCTCAGTCTGGAATACTTCTGACTTGTGTGAAGTTATTTTGTGGTCCTAAGCAGCATGAGCCTTAAGAGCCCCATGAAACGTAGGAGCTGCTGCATTAGGAAAAGCTCAAATACTGCAGAGAACATGTCTGGATGTTCTCTTTTCCTAAGCTGTATGCGATTGTGCCTTTTCAGGGGAAACACATATATTCCCACTGATGGTGTACTATGGCATTTCTTAACATTAGAAGCGGTCCTGAAAACAAGGGGCAAATGTTTACTCATCTGCAATTTTGTAATCACAAAAAATAATGTGGTAAAGTTAAAATTAAGGGAGCCCATGTAATGTGGCAGGATAAAGTGATCCCTCTGGGATAGAGGCTGCCTGAATGTGCCTTAACTATTAGCTCGTAAAGACACAGAATGGTTTGGGTTGCTGCAGCTCGCTTTCTGGAGAACTGTACACTCAGCAGAATACAGCACATGAATACTCACTTAAAGTATACAAAAATTCTTCTTTTCTACATAGTGCAGGGACACTGGAACTACACTTCATGGGAGGAGGTGCTGTAAATATTGGTAAATGGTAAATGGTAAATGGACTGTATTTCCAGCCACTCAAAGCTCTTTACACTACATGCCAAGTTCACCCATTCATACAGGGATGTCAAAGGCCATCACAAATGGAAACTAATACATTCATACACATTAATTCACCGATGCACAGCGTCAGGAGCAATTTGGTGTTCAGTATCTTGCTCAAGACACTTCGACATGCAGCCGCCCTGAAAATTTTAATTGGGGCATGGATAGGGTCAGACTGGGACTTGTATCTGGATCAAACAGTTACTTTATGTCTGTGATAATGTAAAAGGTATCTCTTTGTGAAACTTTTCTCGTAACTAAATAATCACAATTGTGGTTAAAGAAGTGCTTGCAGTGTCTGAGCACCAGGCTTTGGCGTCCGTTACATGACATGCACTGGCCCAAAAAGACTTTTCCCCATAAGGTTACATTGTGAAAGAAGCAGCAGCTGTAAAACGGTGGATAAATTATTTTTTAGCATCATAAACCCCTGCGAAATGACTGGTTTTACATTCTGTCCAATAACATTTGGAAAGTCTAGAAGAGCAGCACAAGTTTAGCAGAGGGCTAAATTGGAAGTTAGTGCCACAGCTAGCAGAAGTCTCTGGGGCACATTCATGTGGGTAATTTCTTTACAGCCAGAAGTGGCTTTTTTGGAACTGAGCACTGTGCCACCTCCAACGCTGTATCCAGTTCACTTAATACATCCATGACTCTGACAGCAGCTGCTCATAGATGGTTAGACTACCAGTGTGCTGTTTCTGTAACAGGAGTTGGAGCTAACCATCCATGAGCAGCTGCTTTCAGACTCTCCGCTGGAGCTTTTATAGTGACTAGAAGCACATTCACACTGTTAGTAAAAGTTTCTGTGTGCTACCTGTGTTGTGGCTAAGCTAGCAGCTCAGAGAGGCTAACTCCCCGGTATGTGTGCCTGTGGAGGGACTGTCTGTGCAGGATCATCATCAAGGGAAATAACATCTGGTGGGCTTTCTACAGCCGTTTAAAGCACATGTCCAGTACGTAGAGCGTTAGCAAAAACTAGCACTCTTTATGTTGGTTTCTACTTTTGTCATCATCATTTTAGGTGACTAATTAAAGTGTCATGTTTTGCTTATTACAGATAATATATATTTGTCTTCATACAGCCGACAGGAAGACTAAAATGCAAACACAGTAGGACTGGCAGGTTCTAAAAAGAAACGCTCATTGGACGTGGCCAAAAATCCCTTTGAAAAGTCATATTCCAGGTGATTGATGTTAGCTCTTAGCTCAGCTCTAGGCACGTGTGTCTGCTTACTCAGCTACTTGAACGGCTGCTAAGACATAATAAAACATCTTGGATGAATTAGCCAGATTGTGGTCTGAAAATTCAGTCACGAGAAGCACAAGCCTCCCAAAATAGATGATTTATGGAACATGATCATTCAAATGACTAATATTCTCAGGATGATCACTGCTATAGTCACATAGAGCTGTATCCCTGTTTACACACAGTAGTGTATGAAGTGGGTGAGTGCATCATGTCACGTGGGATTTCTCCTGTTTTTGTCCTTGCACATGTTCTGCTCAGTCCACCATGCTATCTTGCACTCAATTGTTGTACACGGAGAGAGTGAGTAAACCAAATTCTTCTGTTTGGCAGTGTGTGAAGTGCATGACACTTGTTTATGCTGAATGAGCCAACAAGCCAGTGGACACAGCCAGAACAGCCCTTTTCTGCTGTGTTATATAACTCTGAATGATCATCTTACTAGCAGGAGGAGGCGGCCATCCGCAGTTATTACGTACTTGTGAGACACATCACTGTAGTCAGAACAATTGTACAAGTTCATTCAGAACAACAGGTTTACCTTTGATTTCTACACTGAATAGTAAACAAAAGGCAAAAGAAATTACTAAAAATGTTTTTTCATCAGTTATGTTCACATCAGAAGCAGGTATCAAACTATTATTAGTTTTAGTCCTCTGGCTGAGAACAAAAATGTTTCTTACTTTTTAAAATCAGATTTTTGCTCACACCTGTTTCAGTACATGTACTGTACTTCAGTACAATTCTGAGGCACTTGTACATTGTATTTCCTTTGTTTGCACCTTTATAATTTCACTCCACTGCAAATATTGCATTGTTAGAGATTAAACTACACTACTATATGTAAAGTAGTGAAAAAAATCACTCCACCTCAACCAGCTACAACAATGAAATGCTGCTTACACATTGATGCATCAGTAATATAAACATTCAGTTTTAATTTTACATTACATATTACATCCTAATGAGCGTCGATTCATGATCTAGTCCAAGATTCCAGGACAATGAGAATAGATAATCTTCATACAATAAACCACAACATTTTGCACAAATCCAAGGCCATGTCACCACTTGACTACACATTCACTGGGAGAAGAATTCACTCCACTCAAGTGATTTAGTCCAACTGTTAAGTCACAAACTGCTTTGCACTTATTGTAAGATGTACTGTAATGTGCAATTTCTCCTCCAAATCTCCATGGAAAACAAAATATTCTCTTTAGGCTCTAGTTAGATGTTTTTCTAATTATAAACAGATATAGACATTCAGACAACCTCATACTAATTTACCATAATTGGAAATGTTTATCACAAGATAAGCTGGTGTCATAGTGAGAAAAATGTGTCTTTATAAAAAAAGAATCTTTATAATGAAAGAGCAGATTTGTTTGTCATGGTGACAGAAACAGCGTTGACCCTGAGGCGACATGCTTTTTCCAGCCAGACATTTCTATGTAATAGCTCAGACACATGCTTCCTTCCTAAAGGATTCACTCATGTCCCTGTGTATTATAGTGACTGCAGCACATTATACTCTTGGCACAGAAAGATGCTTTTGTAATTAACATGCAGTGAAGTTGAAGCCTCCCTTTCCTTTACTGCACAATCCCCTCCGGTCATTCCAGTGACGGGTCACTCTATAAAGATTAATACCAACACATTGGGCAGACTGTAATTATACAAGACAGTCTGATAAGTAGTAGAGGGGTAGAGAAAAGGAATAGCAGTGACCATTACAAACCATGTGGCTGGCCCGCCTGCGAGACATGAGTCTATGGAAAAAGATCAATGTGTTCAGTCCCCGAGGACGCTGCGGTGGAATGGCTGACATACTGCTGCTGTTAGGCCGCTATTAGCTGCATCGTTAACTTGCTCATGGGACGTTTTAGTCAGCCGTTAGCTCCACATGACTTAAAACTCAAATAAAGAATTCACTGGCCTAACTGGCTATAATTAATATAAGTTAACTTATCTAAAAAAAGCTAATGTCCGCTAAGTTCCTTGAATAGAAGTTGTACTGTATTCTGAACCCACAGCATGTCAAACCTCTAACACAAAGTTTTATTTATTCCCTCATCTGTGGGATATCCCCTGTCTGCCAGGCTGACAAATCCTTATAAAACAAACTAAATAAAAACAGAAGTGTAATGTAATCACACTCAAACACAGATCAGAATATTAAAGCCATCAATAACATTTGAAGAGCAGCCATGTGCTTTTGGTCAATGAGCAATTTATGGCAAATACATTTAAAGGGATAGTTTGGGGTTTTTGAAGTGGGTTTTTATGAGCTACTATGGCGATTAGCGTGTTCCAAGTTTGGAGAAGCAAACAGAAGTACCAGCATGGACGCTGAACAAACCATTGCTGTGGATGGGGGCAGCAACTAACATCAAAGTCACACAATAACACAAACTAACTAACCAGTCAAGGCAGCAGTGGGCCAGCAACTACTGTGTACTGCATGGTAAAATTACTGTTTTTGTCAAAGGAGGTTTTGAAAAGAGCATAGATCGATTTAAATGCTTCAGTTTCCCGATGAAAGGGGCTGTCTGACAGCAAATGTCTCCCAGTTAGGATTCCTTCAGTGTTATTCACAGAGGGCTCCTCCTCTCCAAAACAAACAGACCCGCTAATTGAAACCAGTAACAATATTGAATAAAGCAGTTCCACCTTAACAATCACTGAATAAAGCAGTTCCACCTTAACAATCACTGTTTCTCCCATGCTGTTGGGCAGACAAAGGACGTCCTGGAGGGGCTGCGAGCTGAGCTGCTGCTAACGTTAGCTCAGAAAATAAATTAGAGTCAGATATGAAACTCTGGCTACCCAAAGAGTGAGACATGGCTCTCTCATAACTGAAGGAATATTTCTGTGCTCAGACTTCTTTTTGAGCGAAATGGAGTTGTGTGACTGACCTTTTTCACAGCAGCCAGTTTGACATCAAATAGTAGGGCAAATACTGTTGTTACTAATGATACTAAGTACCCTGACTGTCTGACCTGAATGGGGGCCATTAAGCCATTATGCTCATGCTAAACGTCCTCACTGACACATATGTGGAGGAAATACAGACAGCCACAGAGCGTCGTGTTGTCTTCAATGTGGCTCCGGGTTCATCCCTCTTTATTATCCTGACCTACATCCAGCTCTTGGCTTGTTCCTGCTGCATTACATCACCTCAGCCAGCTCCCAATGAACCCCTCCAAACCCCTGTACAACACAACAAAGTAACATAAAGGAAGCGGACTGGCTCTGTGCAACATGTCCTCATGGAACTTTTCACTCAGCTCCCACTGCGCTGGTCTGTCTGCACACTTTACAAATGCAGGAGGGAAGTTGTTTGTCTCTCTGAGTGTGTTCACTGCAGCCTCCAGATGACTTCAGAGAACACAGAGAGGTGAGGGAGAATGGAGGACAAGCAGGAAATGACTCTCTGCCCAACCCAATCACAATATAATCACAATATAATCCATCAATTGTCAATACAGAACCCTGATGTAACAAACTCAAGATGCAGAAAGCTGTTGGTGATCATTCATCATTCTGCTGCATGCATGTTTCTCTTTTTAATGCTCATAAAGGCAGACTCAGGCAAATTATTTACAAGCTCTGTTTAGTATAGTAGATCATAGTATCTTAATCTGTCGGGAGACACTGTTGGAGTTGCCAAAACTGCTCTTCACTGTGCTTCATTTCCATCCTCTCAAACAGTTTACTCTTAGTAACTTCATACTCTGTCCCCCTGAACTGTGGAGTACCTCAAGGCTCTGTTCTACGTCCCCTTTTATTTCATATCCACATGCTACAGATTATATTTGTAACCAATTTTATAAGGAGTATGGTCTAGAGCTGCTCTATTTAAAAAGTTTCCTGAGATAACTTTTGTTTTGCAGAACGCTGCAGCACGAGTACTGACAGGAACTAGGAAAAGATATCATATCTCTCCTGTAATGCTCTTCTGCACGGGCTCCCTGTAAATTTATGAATAGAATTTAAAATGTCTTCCTCACCTACAAAGTTCTTCACGTCGGGCCCTTCATATCTTAAAGAGCTCATAGTACCTAATTACCCCTCTAGAACTGTGCTCTCTGAATGCAGGGCTATTTTGGTTCCTATAGTCTCTAAAAGTAGAACAGAAGTAGAGCTGATAAAGCTTATAGTTAGGCTGGCTCAGGTGAGTCCTGATGTTATGCTGCTATAGCCTAGACTATCGGGGGATCTCTCTCCTCTCTCCTCTCTCTCTCTCTTCTCTCCTCTCTCTCTCTCTCTCTCTCTCTCTTTCTCTCTCTCTCTTTCTCTCCTCTCTCTCC